AGTTTTAGATCAAAGATGAATATTTCTTAAAGTTTTTTTATCGAAGTTAAACGATGTTACTATTCACTATTCATTTATTAAAAGCACTATTTGCCGGGGCTTAACTCAAAATAAATATTTTTATACTTTTCTCATTTTTAAAAGTTGATGAAATAAAGCAAAGTTATTAAAATGGTCGGTGTGGAATAGAATTACCATGACCAGTATTATACAGGTCATGGTAAGTCTGTTGTTCTACATATTTCCACAAGTCATCTCATGTTTTTTGAAACTTTTTATACCAATAGTAATTAATTAACTTATTTCAAGCAAGTGTACTAAATATTATTTAGACCATACTAATATTCAATCCTTTGATAAATAGTAACGTATACCGAAACAAATTTTTTTTTTATAGCTTCAAAATGTAAACAATGAGTATAGTTTTTCTATTTTTATATAGTTACTTTTCTACTGCTTACTAAAAAATATTGAAATAAGGATTAAGTATAGAAAAGGTTGGTGCGGAATAGATTCCTAAGACCTGTATTTTATGGGTTATGACAGCTAGTTTAAAATGAATTTACATATTTATAACTATATATATATTCCTTTTGTATTATAAAAATAATACTATATATGATTTCTTCATATTTTATTTTCGTTTTTATGCTTGCGCTATATTTAATACATTTAAATATATTTTACAGTAATAAACTTGATATATAAAATAATACTGCATTTAATACCCTTCTATTTGTTCTATTTATAAAAAAATGTAAAAAAGAAATTTTTAAATTCATGTAGTGCTTTTTTTTATACGCACCTATATTATATAAGAAGAATATATTTAAGAAATATATATATACCAGAGTTTTAAAAATCTATTTGTACAAAAGCTCTTAGAAATTAAAAATTAGATTATCTCAAATTTCAACTTAAATATCACATCAACATAACATATATAATTACGAGTTTATAAAAGAGTATGATAGTAAATTGAATGGAAACTATAGTAACAATTAAAATTTTAGCCTAAACAGTTGAAAAACAATTGTAAAAGAATAGAACTCTTTGGTTTAAGGTTTATTTAAAAAAAGATTTCAATATAATTGTCACAATATCTTTACAGTTTAGAGATAATGCAGTTGATTTTTTAAAATTTGGTTTAATTTACAAAACACAAGAAAAATGAATCAACCAAAGAAGCACAATAAAAAATGCTATATTTTATTCCATTAAAGAACAATATATTAATACTCAAATAGATCTTGCAAAATTGCTACGCTCATTGCGAAAATTTTTAAGCAAACGTCAAGATGCTTGAATAAAGAAATTTTGCGTTGCTTGCAAATTATTGGTTTGATTATATCTGGAATAAAATCAACAAAAATATGATTATACAACTGATAAAACTAAAGAGTAAAAGAATAAAGTCTAAATAAAAATCGAGAAACAAAACCAAAATAAAAACATAATAACAATAACTCACTAAGTAGAGTGTACACTAATAACTCTGAGCGAAAGATAAAAACTGCAGTGTAAATTCGAAAAACTATTATCTCAACTTTACAAGTATCCAACTATTTGATGATTAATTACCAAAGTCTTTTTAAATGATTTGTCATTCTCCTACTTTTTAATAAAATTGTAGAAATTTTTATATATGATGACATTTTCATTCACAAAGAATACTCGGTGTAGTTTAGGCGATTTACAAAATATTTGAATTCTTTTATTTGGAATTAGCATGGTTTTGTCAGCATATTATGTCCAAACAAGATCTTTAAATGTTATAATTTCTTTTGCTTCAGGTTTTTATAATATTTAAAGAAACCTTTCTTTTTTTTATATAATTTTCAAAATCTTTTTACTACCCCTTTAGATTTACTTTCTTTAGATTCACTATTACTACGTAATAGTGAATCTAAAGAACACTATTTTGGGTGCTTTAGATCAATTCTGCTCATCGGCATTAACATGAATTTAGTTGAAATCTTTTTAAAAAGTTTCTTTATTTACTACTGATCCTAGTTGTAATCGGTTCTGACGTATATTAACTATATATAGTTGTCAAAACACACTATTTCTATCAATTTTTACTAAAAATACTGGAATTCTGACCAAGAAAGAGCTTATAATAATGGAAAATTGCCAATAAACGATCAGAACAGATCATAATGTTAAACTATAATGTTCATTTCACCTAAAAAACGTATTAATATAAAATCTTATTCAAATTTGGACGAACCATTTTTTTAAAAAAAAAATCATTTAAGATGATTTTTTTAAAAAAAAAAAGATTCCACGGTCTGGGTTTTTTCGCTACAAACATTTATATTTTAAGATACCGCAAAATTTATTATTTTGATTTTTTTTTGTTTTTTCATAATTCACAGACCAGACCATTTAACAAAAATATTTCGTCAACAAAATATCATACAGACGCTTTAATATTTTAAAAGTGCCTTAACTACACCGAGTAAGAGAAATGAATGAACTTTTATAATATACTTTTAGGTATTTGATTTTTATAATATATTTTATAATATATCAATTTTTATAATATATTTTATAATCAATTTGTTTTTATAAAGCAACTATATGATGTATGCAGCTATTCCACATGACATTTGACCTTTTTTTAGGTATACGCTTTAAAAGGTTGCATTACAACATGACAAAAATTTTCGAGCATTTTCCGTCATTAGAAGAAATGACAGTAGTTCAGCTCTTTTGGATATTTTGAAATATTTTTTTGTTATGTCTTGGATACTTAAAAAGTGTTATAATAGTTTCATAGCATTTTTAAAAATGTTTTATAAATATAAATGAAGGCATAAATATATCAATGAAGTTTACGTCACGGTGTGACCAGTACAAAATCTTTGAATATAAAGACAATAACATCATCAAAGTTACAGTTAAAACAAAAGAAACCAATTTATTTAGATTTCTATATGATTGGTATAACAATAACGTTTAACAAAACAGTTTATTTACAATAATTTCAAAAAAAGTTTTGTAAAATTCAACTACGTTTTTTTATTAAATTTTATCTAGTTAACTAAGTATGTTTTACATTTCCATTTTATCATTAAACTGTTTTAAGCAATGGGCACTAAATATTCCAGGCATTTTACAAGCATTAATGATGTTTCCATGTTCTGTGCCATCAAAAGCAGTTTTAATTTTTTCAGCAGCAACCGTGAAAACATTTACTTGACTTTCATCTCCGACGGCTTTATAAAATGCTGTTGCGTCATTAATCAGATTTTCTCTTCGAACAATTTTTTGTGTTGCTAATCTTTTTATGGTTGCTCTTATACCATCGCATGGTCCTTTACCATGCAAAGTAATTCCAGCAAATTTTAATTTTGTGCTTGCTTTCAAGCCATGGAATTGAAGCTACTATGTAACAATTTTTAAATTGACTGCTAGGACCATCAGACCAAACTTGCAAGTATTTTACATACTTTCTAATAAGGTTAGTTATTAACAAGTCAATAAAATAAATAACTGAACTTCTTGAATGGTTCAAATCATCAGAAATAATGACGGCAGATTTACAAGAGTCACCATGCCAGCTAACAGCAGTAAATGTTACTAATTTCTGTTCCAATGTGCTGACTGAACTTCATCCTGCCAGAAAGTTGAGAAGTTTTCTGCAAAGTCAACTTGTAACAAAACTGAATCAAGATTGTTTTTTAAAACTTTTTAGTTTTCATAGCTCATTGATTGTTTTCCTTTTATAAAATAATGCAAAAGAAATTTGGGTAGCATTTTGCAAACATTGTTAAACAAAACTATGGCTTTGTCTTTTTTTATTGCTTTTTTGAGGTACTTAGTTCCATTAAGTTGAGTAACTTTCTCCCATAGGTACCAGATAATTTCTTTATCGTGGTTTTTTTCATCTAATTGGTTTGTTTTAAGAAATAACTTTCTGCCTTTACAAGCTTTAACAGTTTTTTATATATTTTTGTTTTATTAGAACAATTGATTATATTTTAACATTTGAATATTGTTTTTTATTTATTATATAATTAATTACTAAATTATTAAATAAAAATTAAATATAAGAAATTATTTAAAAAAAAACATTAGGTTTTTTTCTTTTTTGCAAGTTGTTTTTCTGTCTTTTTATCCCTAAAAAAATCATTTATTACAATTAAAATTTTTACTATACCTGGCATTAAGAATCAACTAAATAAAATTTCAGAATTAAAAAAAAAAATTCATTAAAGCATAATAATTTTAATTTTTAAAAGCTCGTAAAGACTATTTAAGCGGGCAGCCCGCGAAGGTGGGTTTAGACCAGCTATTTATAGCTTGTGCACTCATTTACTCCTACCGAAGCCTGTATATATATATATATATATATATATATATATATATATATATATATATATATATATATATATATATATATATATATATATATATATATATATATATATATATATATATATATATATTGATAGATAGATATAGATATATATGTATATATATCTACTAGTATATTTATATGCGCAATTGCTCACTTTTTTTGCTAGCCTAAATTAAGTGAGCGTTTTTAGAAAACGATGAGGGAAAACAAAGAATAATGAATGAAAAGGTTGCTGACCCATACCAAACCCTCAGTCGATGTAGCAGCACTCCACTGCGAGTCAGACTATTTGTCAGTTGATGTATGTACTGAAGCCCCGGGCAGCAGGCTATTTGACGTTAGGTGAGTATGACATCATCACGCTCACCTGACTCAGCAGTATAAGATATATTTATATATAGATATAGATATATATAGATCAACTTTCGGAATTAGGGTCGACATTCAGCAATACTGACCTCAAAGTGTTTCAGGTTTGCAAAAAATTGCTGACCTTGTTTCTATGTTTTATAGTAAGACTTTTGTATCAAATTTTTTTGCTGACCTCATTTTTATTAATTATATATATATAGATAGATAGATAGATAAGATATATATAAAACACTACATCTCTAAATCATTGTATATTTTTTAGGCATATGTTTGGATATATGACCCTGTTAGTTGCTGGAAGTTAATTCTTGGAACAATACTTGGTAGTTTTTTTATTTTTTTGATGTTTAATTTTTTTTTGTTTAATAAATGGATAGAGTGGTTTCAAAAGATATATGTGTATCAGAAAATCCTTTTGCTTAGAGATGATTTAAAATACAGTGAAATAAACTTTAGTAAATTTTAAAGCAAGGTTTGACACTAGTTCATACTTTAAAATGTTAAACACACAAACAAAATTTGAATCAAAATAAGTACAACAATAAATGTTTATGTAACCTTTAAATCATTGTGACATCAAATGGTTTTATGTGACATCTGAATGCTTTTGGGTTGCATCAAAATATATTATGACAAAATTCATAGTATATTTTGTCTCAGTATGACAAAATATTAAGTTAAAAACAGATATTTGATAGATATTTAATTTTAGTGCTGTTTGTAATTGCTGTTTGTTTGTTTCCATTATGGCCTGAAAGCGTTAGAGAATATAGCTGGTATCTAAGTGTTGCTGGTGCAATTTTTGTTGGTGGTATCCTTGTTCTTGCATTGTGTAAGTTCATTTTAGTGTGAAATTAGCATTTATTTTATGTAAATAATATAATTATTATACGTATGTGTTTATATATATATATATATATATATATATATTATATATATATATATATATATATTCCTATACTTTATGGCTAAGTAGACGTGTTTGTGGTAAAAAAATGGCACTTCGCTTGTTTGTGGTTTTAAAGCTGACTAGATTATGTCAAAACACATTAATTTAATTGCAGGAAGTAATTAAACCACAAATTGAAAAACTAGAGTGTTTTTAAAAACATTCTAGTTTTATAATTTGTGGTTTTGTGGTTTAATTACTTCCTGCAAATAAATTAATGTGAATTAAATAATATATATATATATATATATATATATATATATATATATATATATATATATCAGGCTTGGACAGGAATTGCATGCGATTGAGTGCTATTGCTGACCACGCAAATGATATTATTTTTTGACAACTTGACCACGATTGTTTAATAAACAATGTTTATATGTTTTGATGAGTTAAAAATTTCAGAAATGTTCTGACTCTAGAAACGCTAAGCTAAACTTAAACTAGGAAAAAAATTCCTAACGAAAAAAGAAACGAAAAACAAATTCATAACGTAAAAGAAATTATATAATCACTAAAATGAAAATAAAAACTTGAAAAACAAAACTTTTCGTTACGTTTTTAATTACGTATGAAATAAACGTTATTAAAGCGTTATAAAATTTGAAAAATTAAATAACGTTATTAAAACGTTATCAAATTATCTTTTTAAGCGTTATTAAGTTACGCAAAACGTTTTTAAATTAAGTAACAAATTACTACTAATGATTGGTTTAATAAAAGAACAAACTTTATTAAATTTATTAAAAAGTGTTTTATATAATATTTTTAAATTGTATGAACATTTTGTCAAAAAAGTTGCAAAAAAAAATTTTTTTTTGCAACTTTTTTATTAAATTTAAAAAATTAAATAACGTCTGCGATTTATATAAAATAAACTGCCAACAAGCTTTTTAATTTAATTTTTATTTGAGCATTACAACTTTATTAATAAGCGCTTGGCGTAACAAATTTAAAAATTATTATAAAAAATTTAATCTCATTCATTTCTAACGAAATTGAAAAAAAAAAAAGTGGTTCACAAAAAATAAAATGTTTAAAACATTTTAAAAAATCGTAAGTTTAATCATAAAAATTATTTAGATATATTTATAAAGTTATTTTATATTCTTGTGTAACTCACATAAAATGTGTAAAAGTCACAAAAGCTTTTGAACTTATTCACAAATTAAAGTAACTTAAAATAATTATTTCTAAAAATAATGGTTTAAGAATGTTTTAGGAAGACATAAGAAAATAGTTTTAAACCTTTAATTTGTCATAAAAAATAGATGCCTACATATAAAAAAATTATTTATGTTTTTTATTAATTTACACAAGCGTTTATGTAAATAAATGCTTGTGTAAAGCGTTTAATAAAAAACTTTAGAAAAGATCAACGATTAAAAGATATTTATAACGTAACACGTTTATAAACGTTTATAATAAAAAAACAAAAAAATTTTTTATTGCATTCAAATTAGTAAACAATTTCAGTTATCACATACGGAAAAGAACTCTTTAAGAAGAATGTGTATGTTCGTTGCTCGAGTGTACGTTCAAGCCTGGTTTCTATCATCAGAAGCAATTACAGCACCATATCATGATTTACTATTCATATGCCAAGTGATTAATTATTGAGACATAGATCCACAAGTCAGTAAGGCTGCTGCAAAGAAATTTTCCAACTACCTCTGGTACTTAGTTTCCGAAACTGTTGCTCTCTCCTTATTTGATGACAATGTTCCACCAGCAGTCAAGGCAAATATGGCTCAAGTTTTGCTCGACAAAGATAAAGAAGCAGAGGAAGAAAAAAATCAAGTCAAGAAATACATTCTTCCCGAAAAGACTTTTCTTCATTTCCAAACATCGAGTTTCCATCTCTGTTAACTCCTGGTACAAAAACATTCTTCAACAGATTTTCTCTCAGCACAGATTTTCTGGACAAAGACCCTTTAATATGGAAGGATGATCCTGATTACAAAAGTGGAATTGAAAAACTTAAGAAAATAGTGGTTGTGAATGATGTTGCGGAAAGAGGAGTCAAACTTATTCAGTATTATAATAACATTCTCGCCAAAGACGAAACTGAGAAACAATTTGTTTTACAGATCGTTGCCGGAGACTGTAAAAAGTACCCAACTACTACTAAATCCTGTCTTATGAAACAGTAATGTTCAAGATTCATTGGTTCACATTATGTTTTGATTTTATGAACGTTACTGTTGTACATGAAAATGCTTTTTGCCTTATAGCTTTTTGGTGTATTAAATAAGAATATGATTGATATAGACTAGAGTATGTCGCTTTTAAACGGAATTAATCATTATGCATATTATGTTCCAACTTAAAGGCGTTTAAGGGTCGCCTTGCAGTTTGATTGGAACAGGATCAGGGGTTGGGAGGTGCAATATTTTCATTTTTGAAAATTTCAATACAGCTAAGGGCCACCCTAATATATATATATATATATATATATATATATATATATATATATATATATATATATATATATATATAAAATTGATAAAGTAAACAACTATATAAGCACAACTTTATTGACTGACTAATTTTCTTTCAAAAATTTTTTTGAAAGGCCTCTAATGCTAAAATATTAAAATTTATAATTAGTGTAATTTTTGTAAAATTTAAAGAAGAAAATATTTTATTTATTGTTTATTTTGTTGACTAACTTTTTTTACCTTTCTGCCATAAGACTGTGAAGCATGGTGGAGGAAATGTAATGGTCTGGGGGTGTTTTTCTGCTAACGGTCTAGGTCCAATACATCGAAACTAAGGAATAATGGACCGTTTCATGTATAAAAATATCCTGAAAGATGTTATGTTACCTCATGCTGAATGGAATATGCCAATAAAATGGGTTTTTCAGCTAGACAACGATCCAAAACACATTGCAAAAGTAGTCAAGCAGTGGTTTCAAGACAACCACCTATCGGTGATGAATTGGCTGCTTCAATCTCCGGATCTCAACCCTATCGAGAACCTGTGGGAGATCGTCAACCGCAGAATTAATCGTGAAGGTGTTCGTAATAAGGATCAACTGTTTCAACAAATCCAAAAAGCCTGGATAGCGATTCCACAAAGTTTCATTGATCACCTGATCGAATCTATGCCTCGAAGTTGCAAGGCTGTGACAACAAGGATTCACCATGAAATATTGATAGCGACAACAAAGGATTCATCACGAAATATTGATAGCGAAATACAGCTTGGTCAACATTTTGTGGAGTTGCACTTGTTTTGTCCAGAAGGAAATCAACTTTTTTTAATACTTTTGATTAATTTATTAATTTTCGTGTACAAATAATGAACTTTGTGATGAATAAAACTTGAAGAACGTTGTCTCTAAATTGAAAAAAATGCAGCACTTTTATATAAAGAAACTAAATTAGCATTATTTGATTGCACTTGTTTTGTCCGATACTGTGTGTGTGTATATATATATATATATATATATATATATATATATATATATATATATATATATATATATATATATATATATATATATATATATATATATATATATATATATATACATATATATATATATGTATATATATATATGTATATATATATATATATATATATATATATATGTATATATATATATATATATATATATATATATATATATATATATATATATATATATATATATATATATATGTATATATCTTATACTGCTGAGTTAGGTGAGCATGATATATGTATGTATATATGTATATATATATACATATATGTATATATATATGTATATCATATATGTATGTATATATGTATATCATATATGTATGTATATATGTATATATACATATATATATATATATATATATATATATATATATATATATATATATATATATAATATATATATATATATATATATATATATATATATATATATATATATATAGAACTTAATTTGCAAAATACATGCAAGCATTATTGGAATCATGATTTTTTTTGTCACTATTGTTTTAGTACGATATATTGTCTTTGCGCTCATATTTATGTTCACAATGGGAAACGTTCGTTTTTGGTTTCTCCCTAATCTCACTGCAGAATGTGGGTTTTTTGAATCTTTTGTACCTTTATACACATATGCTGAAAGCAAAGTTGACAATAAAAGCAAGAAGAAATTCAAAAAAGATAAAATAAAAAATGAAGAGAACTTAAAAAAAGAAAAATTAGAAGATCTTAAAAGCTTTTCTTCAATTGAAAAGAAAAATGAAGAAGATAAAGTCTATAGTAATGAGAGCGAGGAAAGTTCTGAAAGTATCAAAGATGAAGATTGGGTAAAAGTTAAAAAAAGTACAAAACAAGATACATTTGAAGCTAAATGTTAATTTTTTGTTTTAAGTGTATAAGTGAAATATTATTTGAAAGTTTTTTTTAATATATATTTATTTTTATTTTATTTATGGAGTATTTTTTTATAGTTTTTTCAAAATGTGTCTGTTTTTGAAGTAGTAATTCTTGATCTTTTGCAGGATTTTCCTGCATTAACGCCTCCCTATTCAGTCAGTCGATGTATGTACTGAAGCCCGGTAGCTCCCTATTCAAAAATGACGTCACTAATTTCCATCTAATGCTATATTTGCGAAATGTTGCAACAGCAAATAAAACTGCGTTCTTGAATTCGCTTGGTACCAAATAAACCAAAAAAATGGTTTTAAAATTTATATTGCTTTTTTAAAATAAATCAAACTTCTGCGCAGTGAATCTCTTTATATGATTTAGGTAGACAACGCACAGTTGGACGCTCCCATACAAACATCAACTTTTTTTTTCTTTTTTTTTTTGGAAAGTGCTGTTTTGAAGTGTTTGCTGTAAATTGACTCCCAGAAAAAGTTTTATCAAATTTGACTTAAAAATTCAGCCTTTTTAAGTAAAAAATTTGAAGTAGTTTCAGGAAGTGGAATGATTTTATGAAATTAAATCAATCCAAAAACCTTTTGTTGCGCATTGTGTTAACAATCTAATTCCGTAACTTTCATCCATTTTGTGATGTTTTGCCATGCGATGCGTAGTTTTAGAGATGTGTGTTTAACAACAATGTCACGTTAGATTCAGATAAACTATGGTAGTGTTATTTTACTAGTTGTTTTTGCATAAAATGGGTCTAAAATTCATAACTTTTAACCCCATTCAAATACTGTTTACGGTATTTATCATTTTTTGAAATGCCGGGACTTATTCGGCCATCCTGAAAAAATAATTTATTTCATTCAGAATGCGTCAACAATTAAATAACAGAGGCGGTAAACTTTATAAACAAATTACTTTCATTCGTCATATTGCTCATGTCATATCGTCTAATTTGTCTAATATTATGTCATTTGTCATATTGTTGCATTTTTCTTGTTGAACATCAAGAGTATTACAAGATGAAAAAATAAATAATAATATTGTGTATAGATCTTTATTCTCGAAAAACTTTTATTGTAGTATCCACAAATTATTATTTTTTAATTTAAATTTGTCACTTATAATAAATAGTTCTTGGACAAAAACTATATTTCTATATACCAAATTTTTTAAATATCAAAGACAAGAAAGTACTAAAGTTAGAAACAATAAAATTAACTGAGTTATTTGTCATAATTATTGTGGTAAAAAGTTAAAACAAAAATATGTATTTGTTAAACAAATATATATATATTTTTAAACATCTTCGCTTCCAACAAGGCTGCAAGCAAGCAAATTATATGAATCAGGAAAGCAAGATGAAGGAAGCGAATTCCAAAGAACTGATGTTCGAGGAAAAAAACTAGACGAATAAGAGTTTTTGGAGCACTTAGGAACAGTAACAGAAAAAGGATGAGACTTAAATAAATGACGAGTAACACGAGAATGAATTTTAGTAGATGGCACAAGAGACGCCAGCTCTTTAGAGCAGTGCTCATTATAGTATTTGTAGAAAAGAGAAAGAGAAGCAACACAACGACAATGTGACAGAGGTTGAAGGTTGGCTGCAAGAGCAGGTCCAACTATGTTTACAATGCGTTTTTGCACCTTGTCTAAAAGAGAAAGGGCTGCCCCAGATATGGCAACAGTATTCCATACAAGGCCGGATTTGAGATTTATAGAGATAGAGAATAGAATCCAGAGTAAGAATGTGTCAAGCTCGATAAAGAGAAGCAACTTTAGCAGATGCTAATTTTGCAACGGATTTGGTATAAGGTTTCCAAGAAAAATCAGAAGTAAGAGTTAATCCTAGAAGATGAAGGGTAGGAGACTCATCGAGTACATTACTGTTCATAAATATAGGAAGGTCTAAATTATTGCGATAACAATTCGCTGAAAAAAATTGAGTTTTATCTTAATTAAAGTTCACCAGCCACTGTGAGTCCCATGCTGTAGCAGAAGTGAGATCCTTTTCAAGCTCAGATGCCCCCTGCAAGCAATCAGAGGGAGTTAGCTTCTTATCGTGACAAGAATAAATGATAGTATCAAATTAAAAAGAGTATAGGGCCAAGGATTGAATCTTGAGGAACCCCTGAGGTTATAGAATAAGAAGAAGAGTGCTGTCCATCAAGGACAACTTTTATACTACGATTGGAAAGGAAGCATTCAATAATCTTAAAGATGTTTCCAGATACACCGTAAGAAGAAAGCTTATGAGGAAGACCAGCATGCCAAACTTTATCAAACGCTTTAGAAATGTCAAGAGCGATGGCCTTAACCTCTCCACCTTTATCTGATGCGCGATAAAACCTACCGGTTATTACTGATAGCAAATCAGCCGTAGAACGAGAAAATCGAAATCCATATTGATGATCGGAAAGTAGGTTATGAGATTCGAGATGAGAGATTAAGTGTTTGTTAATTAAGGACAGCTCCGGAGAACACTTCTGCAAGACTATAACAGGTATGTTGTCCGGACCGCAAGCGGTAGAAGAGTCTAAGCAGGAAATCACTTTAGATACAGAAGCTGGAGTGATACGGATGTCGAACAATGGATCAACCTTTTTGACGGCTATATCAGGTAGAACGCAACTAGTGGAATCAAGAGATGATATTGATGAAAAGTTTGTAGCAAACAATTCAGCTTTGCCTTTAAGTGAGGTGACAAAGTCTGAACCATAAAAAAGAGGTGGGATTACAGACTTGTCCTTATTATTGATACTTTTAAAGATTCTCCAGAACTCACGAGAGCCTAATTTTTGTGATGAAATACGAGATTTCATGATCTGAGAATAGCGAGTTTTGGCGTTAGACAAAACCTTTTTACAATGGTTCCTAGCAGTATTAAACAGACGTCTGTTTTCTGGAGAATTGTTTTGCTGAAAGATATGGAAGTAATGGTTTCGATTGGCAATTGCAGCAGCACAATGTGAGAAAAACCATGGAGAAGAGTGAGGCTTGATCTGGAATCGTCGAGAGGGAATAAAGGATTTTATGCCAGCCTGAATCCACGAAGTTATGTAAGAAGCACATTTGTCAACAGGAAGACGAAAGATTTTTACCCAGGGGCGATCACGAAGAAAATCACGGAAAGTGTCCCAGTCAGCTTTAATGTAGTTGTAAGATGTACGATGATAGGGGGATTCTGATAGTAAAGAAGAATGAGATAATAGTTTTAGAGAGACCAAACCATGATCAGAAGCACCTAAGGGTGAGTGTGGAGAAACTGAGCACTGACTAGGATCAGAAACAAGACATAAGTCGAGTAGAGAAGGTAAATGATTCGGGTTATCTGGAAAGCGAGTTGGAAAGTTGACTATTTGAGTTAGGGATTGAGAAAGGCAAAAGTTGTGGGCCTTAATGCCTGCAGAGTCACTGACACTAGAGCCAAGCCATTCAGTGTGATGAACATTAAAGTCATCGACAACAACAATTTTGGAAGATGGATAAAGAATGAGGGTTTCAGAAATAACATCAAGAAGAGTGCAGTCTTGAGATGAAGGAGAGCAATATAGAACAAAGAGAAAGGCGGTAGAGTGACATGGTGCTAAATGAAAGCACATAAAAGAATAGTCTGTGGATTCAAACCTACTTTCCCGACAAATTATTCTTACGAATGTAAATGCCTAGGCCAAGCATGTGACTATTGGAGTCTTTACGAATTAAAGGAAGATAATCATCAACACTAAGATCACAAGATGAGACATCACAAGATGATATACCGTAATCTCATCACAAGATGATATACCATAAACTCCCCTAATTCCGGATGGTTTAGTACTTAAATCATCATAACTCGCTCATTATAAAAGACTTTTGAAATAATTTTTTTAAATAAATAAACTTCATAACAAGGCAAATCGAACGATATGAAAAAAAAAACTTTGTTTTTTTAATTTAAATCTCTGTTTTATTTTATTTTTAAAAAGTATTGTTTTCATCCGGAGTTAGGTGTCTATGTCCCTAATTCCGGATGCGTATAAAACATAGAAAAAACACACACACAAATAATGCAAACATTAAGCTAATTAATTTAATCCATAAAACAAATTGAATTGTTTAATTAAAAAAGAAAATATATTTTATTCACATTCGTTACAATAAATTACATAGTTAAATGATATCCAACGACACTTGCAATGCAAGACCTATTAGAACACTGCTCACATGTAAGCTATTGCTTGTCCATGCTATTCGCCCAATAATTTTTGCAAGAATAACAAAGACAATTATAAGACACTAAAGTACTATTTAAAGCTTGAGGTAAATGTGGGTCTTCTGATTGATTCTTTGTCTTTCGACCTTTTTTACCTGGTGTTTTAGCCGACTGACTTTGTTTCAATTTTTTTCTTTTCTTTTTTGTTCATTTTCTGCTTTTTAAGTAGTAGTGGAAACCTATTTTTTAAGTAGTAGTGGAAACCTATTTTTTAAGTAGTAGTGGAAACCTATTTTTTTAAGTAGTAGTGGAAACCTATTTTTTTAAGTAGTAGTGGAAACCTATTTTTTTAAGTAGTAGTGGAAACCTATTTTTTTAAGTAGTAGTGGAAACCTATTTTTTTAAGTAGTAGTGGAAACCTATTTTTTTGCTCTCTTATTTTCTTTGCAGCTTGTTCATCTTTTTGTTTTTTTCATGCTCAGCTTCGTCGTAAGCTATGACGTAAGCTATGGCATCCATCAAAGTCATATTATAATTAGCTGGTCGCTCTGTTCTTTCAAAATTTTGAACTCTTTTATTTAGAATTGGTGTCAATTGATCACGAAGCATATTTAACACTGATTTTTTTTATATCTTTCCCCACATGTTGAACGGCATTATTCAAAGAATCAAAGCTTTCAAGCAAAAGTTCTTGACATTCTTGATGGTGAGTTGACATTCTTGATGGTGAGTTAGATGTATTGGTAACATTTTCCAAAACTAATGGACTAGATACTGTTGAAGAATCAAATAACTTTTTTTTTTATATTGCTCGATTTTTCTGGTATAGACTAATTAGAAACAATAATTCATAA